AAAATAAATAAATGAAAAAAAAAAAAAGCAAAGAGGGTAGGAACATAAGATGCTTGGGGTCAGAACAGTTAGGGGATGTGGATCAACCAAACCAGCTGCTCAGCCTATTAAGGTTGAACTCTACATCTTTCTCAAGTCCTCTATCCCTTCATGGTCCCCACTCCATAACTCCATGAGAATACCAAATTCTTTTGATTTTCTCCCTCAGAAATGTTTCCTGAATCGAAGCCATACCCACTGCCAAAGATGCAGATCAGGCTCTCAGCAGCATTACTTTCCTAGACCACTATTGTGCCCCTTTATTTGGTCTCTCTGCCACCTACAAATTAAGAAAGTCAAATTTAAAAAGGCCTTATAGTTTACAGCTCTAAAATAATAGGATTTGTAATGCCATGTGGTATCAATCAATTCCAGCCTTTCCATTAAATAATCCATATGAATCAGTATTCATGCCTTCATTTATTTATATGGCTGTAATATTCCAAAACGCTAAGTGGGAATAAGTGTAATACTTTAGAAAGCCTTGCACTCTTTCATGACCTTTCATCTTGGAAACATAGACTCAAATGTACACAGCTTTAATTGATCCTCCCTTTCTTCCAGTAACCCAGTTCCCACAGATGTCAGTCTCTTAACAACTCCAAACAAGGAGTAAAGTATTGAGAGTTTTGGAATGTGTGCATATCATATTTTCAGTAAAGAGATGAGCAACACTTTCAATTAAAGAGGAATCTGAAAGAAAACAGCAGCATCCCTGTAAGAGTACATGAGGACAGTCAGCTGGACTCATTTGCTATCTCAGCACTCCCCTCCCCAACTCCTCCGCCTTCCAGCCATGCTGCATTGACCTTTTTATCATGGAATGGTGTACAGATTTTTGGATTTTGTTGTTGCCACTCATAATCCCAGCAGACTTGTATTATAAGTAGCTGCTTATACTGCTGTTACGTATAGATATAGAAAATGAAGTAATGACTCTGTAACTTGTCAGTGGTCAAAGAAGCCAAGGACACTGAGCAAAGGTGACTGAGAACAAGTGCCCAGCATGGGCTCCAACACCCAGTAGAAAAGGGCCCCAGTAGGGCCTTTTCTCATTGGTTTTTCTCCAACAAGGAATTTCTCTCTTACTGAAAGACAGTACAGTTTGGGGAATATCATTTAACCAGATATTCTGCTCCATTCTTGGAGTAAAAAGCAGGTGCAATTTTTGTATAAGAGTCTAGCTAGGGATGTAGATGAAATTAATTTTTATAACAGGACCAGGCTGAGGAAAAACATCAATAAATGCTACAAACAGTTTCTCACTTTTTCTAACAGGGAAATCTCTGCAGGATGATAAAGATGCCAGTTATGTCTAATAGCAATGTTAATTCAGGTGAATCTGAAATAATCATGATACCTTTTTCTCTAGGAGCCAAATGTAGCTTTGGAATTTTTCTCACTGTAGTGTTGTAGGCAGAAACTATCAATTGAGGCAGGCCCTTGAGAGGAAATATTTGTCCTCCTTAGATAGCCCATGCAATGATCAGGCTTAGAGAGTGAAAAACCAATTTAAATGACTGTATTGCTCATCTTTTATTTACCGTACTCCCAGTGGCCTAACCTGGAACATATAGAAGAAAGTAGTGGGATGGTTTTTCCAGACCCACTTGAGTTACTTCAGGTCCTCAGTCTTTAATAAGGTTTTGGGAGAGAAAAAAAGCTGTTGCTGTGTGAATTCAATAAATACTGAAAATTTTTAAAAATCCGTGAACATTATTTCTGCCATCGTGCGATCTGAGCTATTTGAGTAGTTTCAAAAATCTCGTGTGGAGGTCAAGAGATCGAGACCATCCTGGTCAACACGGTGAAACCCCGTCTCTACTAAAAATACAAAAAATTAGCTGGCCTGGTGGCGTGTGCCTGTAATCCCAGCTACTCAGGAGGCTGAGGCAGGAGAATTGCCTGAACCCAGGAGGCGGAGGTTGCCGTGAGCCAAGATCGCGCCATTGCACTCCAGCCTGGGTAACAAGAGCGAAACTCTGTGCCCCCCCCCCAAAAAAAAAAAAAAATCTCGTGTGATGGGTTATCTTGACCAACCTCCCTTTCAGTAAGAAACAAATTATTAACAGAACGTGAAAGAGAAGGAAGAGGGTGAGGCAGCTCCCCAGTTCGTTGCTAGATCCAACCTGGCCAGTGAACCTTGAAAAAGCCAAACTCTCTTACCTTCACCATGGAAGCACAGAACAAAATGCCCCCTCCTAAAAACAGAAGTTCGACCAGATCCCTTCCTATGATTCTTCAAGAAGCATTGCATCATCAACCTCAGGCGTAAGCATTAATAAAGACCCTAAATAATAACAGAGACGAAACAGATCGCAAAGAGAGTTTTCCTTTATCCTCTTTAAAATGTAAATACTCCCAAGAGGAACCAACCAACATCATTACGGGTTAATGCCTATGTAGACAAACTAGGGCCAGGATATAAAGTAAGAAATAAGTAGGAAGGAAGGAAAGGTATCCTAGAGACGACTCCAAGGGTTGAGGGGAAACATCTGATTTTACCTTAAAATCATCCTAATTCGTTGACCTTTTGTGTTTTTTTTTTTTCTTCTTCTTTTTCTTTTATACTTGGCCCTGCTCAAGCAGGACCTCAAAAAAATTGGTTACTAACAACTGTTCCTCTCCACGGAAATCTGCAGTAAAAGACAAAATATGTATTTGTTCCGCACAGAAACCAGAGCTTGCGATGAGCTTCTGTGTCTCTGTCAGCCCTTTAGCATGACGTTAGGAACCCTCTGGGAACTGAGTCTTCTTCGAAGCCCGGGCTGCCACCTACAGACACGCACTTTCCAACGCCAGCACCCTGCCTGGAGCCGGCTCTCCCACCCGGGCCGCTCTGCGTCCGCGCCGCCCCGGCCGTGGGGGTCGGCAGGCCAAGTACACGACTCCGCGGAGAAACAGCCGTCGGAGTTCGGGGTGCGTCCCGCCATGACCCCGCCCCAGGGTCCTGCCCCTCGCCTCCAGCCCCCACCCGACGATCTTTAAGGTCCCCCGGGCGCGCCAGGCAGACCTGCAGCGACTCCGCAGGGACCGCGCTCCCGCGCTGCTGCTCCGGCCGCCCGGCAGCTCTGAGGATGGAGAGGAGGGCGCGAAGCTCCTCCAGGGAGGCCCGCGGGCGAGGTGGCAGCGCCCCGAACAAGGAGAACAAGAGGGCCAAGGCCGAGTGGGGCAGCGGAGGCCGCGGACGCCGGGAGGCTGGGCCCGAGCGGTCGGGCTCTGGACGGGCGGGGACCGCAGGGGAGCCCCGAGCGCCTGCCGCCACTGTGGTGGACGTGGATGAGGTCCGGGGCTCCGGCGAGGAGGGCACCGAGGTGGTGGCGCTGCTGGAGAGCGAGCGGCCAGAGGAAGGTACGGTCCGGCACTGTTATCTGCCGCCTTTCCAGGTGGTAACCAAGGGGTGTCAGATAAGGTGGAAAGGGTCATCCCACAAGACCCACTGAAGTCAGGGCAGACTGCTGGATGCTCAGGTTCCCAGGAACGGAAAGACGTTAAGAACCCAGCAGCCTCCTATAGTGAGCAAAGAACTTCAGGAGAAATACAAGTATCACTATATCCTGGTCTCGGGTCAGCCTTGGATGGGAGTGGGAGGGAGTGTGGTCCAGGTTGGGGACCAGTCAACATGGCAAAGGAGCCATGAAGTTGGTTTTTGTGGCCACGGAAGGGCACATGGGCACCTAATTTAAGTAAAAACGTGCACGAGTTGGTGGCTGTAGGCAGTTATGTGGCTTATTCTTCCCATGTCCCCACCCCTCAGTCTTACCTAAAAGCATTTTAAACTTCTGGGGAGATTATCATTCTTTCTGGAAAGCAGTCGCAGCAGAGCCAAGTGAAGAAGAGCCACACCTGAGTTTAAACCACAGCTCAGCCACTGCTAGCCATGTGATCATAGGAAGGACCTTAACCAGCTCTCATCTAACAGTGCCTGCCTCAGAGGGTAGTGGTGAGGATACAATGAGAAAAGGCATCCAAAGCACTCTGCACAAAGCCTGGAACAAAAACATACTCAATTCTAGCTGCATCCTTGCAAGCTGAGAGAGAGGGAAATTAAATCAAAGGAGGGAATGCAAAAAAAGGTGCCTCTTCTGCTTCTGCAGGAGAAACAATTCTTGGGAAAAATTTTATCTACTTCCAGTGTTTTTTATAATGAGTGGAAGAAAAAAAATGAGGACCACTTTAGTAGGATGACAAATGTTTAAAGAAATTAAATAAGGGATAGGGTGTTATATTGCTTTCTGCTGGCTATGAAGTTTTAACATTTCCTGGTTGCCAGCAATGCAGTACATGCTGGATCACTAAAAGCTACCATTTAAGGAAGATTTCTGCAGTTGGGGTGTAGTTTAAATGGGTTATGTTAATACTGTTTTGTCCAGTTGATGATACCCTTTCATCAGCCAGAAACCTCTGTTCAGTAAAGGTTTGCTGGGCTCAATGCTGAGGTTAGAGGGCTTGTAACTGTTAGGCAGCAGATCACACTGGTAGGGTAGGCAAGTAAGGGAGCCACCATTTATGAAACCCCTACTATGTGCCAGGCACACACTGGGTGTTTTGCTGAGTTATTTAATCCCTCACCATCCTCTTATCACAGATGAGGAAACATGCTCTGAGAAATTGTCACGTGTGCAAGTCCTGTTTCTGGGAAGTAGAGAAGGCATATTCTCAGAGTAAGACAGTCTGATTGAAATGCTCACCCTCGCTTGGTGCTGCCTCTCATTTCTGGTCATGGTCCTACTGGCCGTGGCCTTGGGCACCTTTGTGGGCCCAGTCACTCCAGCTACAGAGTAAGTAAAGCAGGAGATGCCAAGCAATGGGCAAGCAGTCCCACTATGGATGAAGTGACTTTGGCTGAGCCCTTGTGTGGGAGGTTTCCAAGGCTCACAGGGAACTCAGCACCACACTCCCAAAGGCAGGCTAGTTAAGATGGAAGAAATGAAAAAGCGCTTCACCTCACCAAAATGCTGGGGACTCTGAGATGATATTTAAAGGCTTTTCTTGCTTGACTAGTTAATGTTTGGCTATTTACTTAAACCAAACAAGTTGGATATTCAAGCAATTTACTCTAACAGAACAGTATTTTTTGGATAAAGCTTCAAGTTAGGCTTGAGTGTAGAAATTCGTTTTCTATGCATATCTCTTGCTACTGTATGAAGGAATTTTTGAGGCATTTTTTCACTTATAAAATGTAATTCTGTATGTGCATTTATTTTTACTTTCCATGGCTACCACTGGCAACTGAAAGATATTTATAAACTAATTAAAAATGGCAATGATACTGTTATTCATTGCCCTTGAAGAAGAATATTATAAAAATTAATATGTTGGTAGAGCAGCATTTCCCAGAGTAGTTTCCATGAGAAACAAGTTCCATAAAATATCAGTGAGTATTCCTTAGAGAAAATAGTACCTGGTCAAACGTGTGTAAACAAAGCTAAGAATGCTTTGAGATTCTCATAGCTTCAACATCGTGATGAGCACTGGGAACTCCAGGAATGGGACGTAGTGCTTAGTATCCTCTAAACTCATTTGCCCAGGAAATTCTTCTTTGGTGGAGCAACGTGTGGGATCAGTATTTTGTAGGATGGCCTCTGGAAACTGCCGTACTATGGTATTCAGTGCTAATTCTGTTTTTGTGCTGGTACAGCTTGCATATCTGTCCTCTTCTTCAAGTGATCGGCACATCAGTTTGGTGGTGACCTTTCTGGGCATGAAAATCAAATCAGATTTTCAGGCCTACTAATTCCTTATCCCCTTCATTCCCATCTCTTAAAAAAACAAGATTTTAGGCCAGGTGCCATAGCTCATACCTATAATCCCAGTACTTAAGAGGCTAAATGAGAGGATCATTTGAGGCTAGGTGTTTGAGACCAGCCTGGGCAACATAGTGAGACCCCATCTCTGCAAAAAAATTAATTAGCCAGGTATGGTGGCATGCACCTGTAGTCCCAGCTACTTGAGAGGCTAAGGTGGGGTGACTGGTTGAGCCCAGGAGGCTAAGGATGCAGAGAGCCGTGATCACATCACTGCACTGCAGCCTGGAGAGGGCAAGACCCTGCCTCAAAAGAAAGAAAGACGACAAGAAGGAAAGAGAGAGAGAGAAGAAAGAAAAAAAGGAAGGAAGGAAGGAAGGGAGGGACTGGGGGAGGGAGGGAGGAAGGAAAGAAAATAGACTTTTTACCATTTCCTAATTTTTAGTCACCTTCTAGTCCTCTGTGATCTTTTTAAACTGGCAAACAGAATTCCTTTGGTCAGTTTTCTAGTACCTGGAGGTTAAAATTCTTGAAATTTTCATAACTCTTACATTTAAATCATTTTCACCCTCCTTTCTTCCCACATTCAACTAATATTTATTAAGCACCTCCATGGTGCCAGGCATTATTCTAAGCCCTGAGGGCACAGTGTAAATAAGACAAGACCCCAAGAAGCGTGTGTTCTTAAGGCTGACTTTCCTTGATATTGTTTCATTTATCACCCAAGCATCCTGGATGTTGTGAACCGCAGTTCCTTATCGCTTTTTCTAAATCACATCAGTAGGTGAATTTTACCCCATATAGGTAATTTTCAAAGACTATCGAGATCAACACCTTGATGGAGGTGTTAAAATGGTGGAATTTTAGACATTAAGGCAGGTAATGGATGGGGAAGTTATTTCATGGAAGATAAGGCTCTGGACAGGTGGTTGGAACCACTTAAACCAAACCTGACACATGTAAAGTACCGCTCACTGCTTTATATGTATGTGTAATTTTATCCTTATGCCAAAGTGGGCGATACATCTCATGAACTAGTTATTTTGGGATAGTCATGAGATATTAGCATCCCCATTATACAGGGAAGAAACTGAGGTTTGTAAAGGCCATATGCCTTGCCTAAGGTTATCTGGATATGAAATGGTAGAGCCAGAACTAGAATCCAAACCTTCTTCCCAGATTCTGTGCCTGTTGCAGTATACCCCACTGCTCTTCTCTTATTTTATTTTTGAGACAAGGTCTAGCCCTGTCACCCAGGCTGGACTGCAGTGGCACAGTCATAGCTCACTACAGACTCAACCTCCCAGGCTCAATCTATCCTCCCACCTCAGCCTTTTGTGTAGCTGGGACTACAGGCATGCTCCACCATACCCAGCTAATTTTTAATTTTTTTGTACAGACAGGATCTCACTACATTGCCCAAGATGGTCTTGAACTCCTGGACTCAAGTGATCCTCTCATCTCAGCCTCCCAAAGTGCTGGGATTACAGGCATGAATCACTGTACCTGATCCCCACTACCTTTCCAGGGCCCTGCTCCTCCCCGGGCCCTATGAACTCTGACCACTCTGATTTGACTTATATTTCCAGCAAAGTCTCCAAGTTGCTCTGACTCCAATACCAAGGACTGGACCAACAGATGCTAATCAGTGAGTATGGTGAAGTTTCAATATAATTATTCTTTTGCTTTAATTTTTTTTAAGGTACCAAATCCTCTGGCTTAGGGGCCTGTGAGTGGCTTCTTGTCTTCATTTCTCTGCTCTTCGTCATCATGACCTTCCCTTTTTCCATCTGGTTCTGCATAAAGGTGAGATTCCACGAGAACCCAGTAGGTAATTTCCTGATGCCTCTCACTGACCACACCACGCCCATTCTCACCTCTGTGTTCTGGTACTATTCTTGCCCGTGTGGAATGCCCTCACCCCTGACTCACCTTCCAGGATAGCTCATACTCCTCCAAGACCTTGCTCAAATGTAAACAGGAAGCCTTCCTTGACTCCCCCAGACTGCCATTCCCTTCCTGGTGCTCCCGAGTCACTCTGCTTTCACTTGCTCTAGCACTTACCACGTGTATTATATTGGCTATGTTTGTTTCATCTGCATTCTGTGACCAGAATGGATCATGACATCCACTCCACTAAAAAATTCTCAGGCAGCTTCTGTAGCCCATGAGTCATGATTGTCTCTGGCCCACAGGTGGTTGTAGATGCCTGTCCCTGAGGTAAATGAAGACCTGTGTCACTTCTGGAAGCACGTGCCAAGATGGAATTAGAAGAGCAAGAGATTTATTGGGAGATAATGCCTGTGAAAGATTAGTGGGAAAGAAAACAAGAGTAGTCAGGAGAAGCCTTCAGACAGTGATGCAGGCCTGACACTTATGATATGAGAAGGGGAAGAAAGGATTGGGCAGAGAGAGCCTCTGACTGTGGTGCTGCTCCAAGAAAGCCTTGGCCAGCCCAAAAGGGAACTCTAGAGCAAGGTTTGCTTCAAAAGACTCCCATAATGGGCAGAAACAGCATGGCCCTAGTACTCCTGCCATCTCCGTCACTGGCTGCAGCTGCAGGGAAGACTGCGTCCTTGGCTGAAGCAGTACACGTGCTGCTGGGGCTGCTGTTGGGTTGTACTCACAGCAGGCAGCGGCTTCTTCCCCCTCTTCATCTTTCCCTCCCCATTTTCCTCCCCAAAATACAGTTTGGTATTTTGTGTTTTTGTTTTCATTTATCTCAAAGTATTTTCTCATTTTCCATGTGCTTTCTTCTTTAACCTATTGGTTAGAGTGTGTTGTTTACTTTCCACTTATTTGTGAATTTCTCAAATTTCCTTCGGTTACTGATTTCTAGTTTAACTTCATTGTAATAAGAGAATATACTTTATATGATTTCAATCCTTTTAAATTTGTTTAACTTAGTTTTATGGCCTAGCATAGTATCTTTCCTGGAGACGATGTTTCATGTATGCTGGAAAAGAATGTGTACTGTGCTGTCATGGGGTAGAGATGTTTGTTAGGTCTGTTTGTTGATAGTGTTGGTCACGTCTTCTATGTCTGTCTAGTTCCATCCATTGTTTAAAGTGGGGTATTGAAGTCTCCAACTGCCGCTACTGAACTGTCTATTTCTACTTTGAATTATTTTGGTCTTTTTCCTCATGCAAATTTTGGTACTGTTTTTAGGTGTACCTATGCTTATCGCTGTTACACTTTCCTAATGCGTTGATGCTTTTATCATTATACAGTGTCTCCATTTCTTGCTAGTAACATGTTTGCTTGTTTTGAAGTCCATTTTCTCTGGTGTTAGGATAGCCACTCCCACTCTCCTTTAGTTACTGTTCGTATGGTATGTCTTTTTCCATCTTTTACTTTTAGTCTATTCATATCTTTGAATATAAAGTGTGTCTTCTATAGATAGTATATAGTTGGCAGCAGGCTCTTCTTGAAGGGTGACCTGAGCACCTGCATGACTGCCACAAGATTCAACACTGACTCAGCCACAGTTTTGGGGAAAGGCTTTTAGGTCTGGTCACTGAAGATGGAAAGCCCTAAGAAGCCAATTAGGGAGAGGAAAGAAAAGCAGACCCAGGCAGTTATATTTGAGCAAGGTCTTGAAGAAGTAAGCCTCCCCTTCATCTCTGGGAAGAATTTGTTTCTTCCAATAAAAGCAGGTAAGAAGTAATGCTAGGGAACCAAGCAATTGGGAATTTCTGGGCATGCTCTAAGAACCATATACAGTCATTCATTCTCATTGTTTCAAGCAAGGCAGTGTTCTGGCCTCATGAAATTGTAAACCCCATGAAGGCAAACAAAACATGATTCCCAACCTCAAAGGACTTACAGTGGGTTAGCAGAGCCTGTAATCTCAGGTACTCAGGAGGCTGTGGCAGGAGAATCATTTGAACCTGGGAGGTGGAGGTTGCTGTGAGCTGAGATCACACCATTGCACTCCAGCCTGGGCAACAAGAGTGAAGCTCCATCTCAAAAAAAATTATAACTGGCCAGGTGTGGTGACTCACACCTGTAATCCCAGCACTTTGGGAGGCTTAGATGGGTGGATCACCTGAGGTCAGGAGTTCAAGACCAGCCTGGCCAACATGGCGAAACCTCATCTCTACTAAAAATACAAAAAATTAGCTGGATGTGGTGGCTCAGGTCTGTAATCCCAGCCACTCAGGAGGCTGAGGCAGGAGAGTTGCTTCAACCTGGGAGGCAGAGGTTGCAGTGAGCCAAGATCATGCCACTGCACTCCAGCCTGGGTAACAAGAGTGAAACTTCATCTCAAAACAAAACAAAACAAATCCAATTGAATCATTTTGAAGCAGCACTCTGAAACAAAATATCACAAGTGGTATTAAAATGTATTCCCTCTTTGTGTTAAATAGCTAATGAATGATACATATAAAAGCTAGTAATGCAGAAATCACAGTAAAACACAAGATTTAACATGCCTTGGTAAGATTAATTTAGGAAAAGTTGGCCATGGTTTTTTTAGATAATCATAAGTCTTTAATCAAAATTCTGTCCATGGGTTCATAAATTAACATGGTTAATATATTTTTTCATTGGTTTCTGAAATTTTATACTTACTAAATATAGATTTGGGAAACTTAAGTATTAATAGAAATTTTTATTGGTTCTCAAGACAAAAAATTTCTGATATCTAGGATCATTCTTATGCCAAGGCCTTTTGAAGACTTTATTTTTCTTTCTGGGAGTGATTTGAAAGGATTAAATTTCTCTTTAGGTTGTACAAGAGCATGAGAGAGTAATTATATTCCGACTGGGACATCTGCTTCCTGGAAGAGCCAAAGGCCCTGGTAAAAAACACTTTTTTTTTTTTTTTTTAAATACCTCCCTCTTGACTTGCTTATTTCTTCAACCCATGCAGCTTTGTAATATGGACCTCTGAATACACGAAGCAACTTGATTCATGATATCTGCATTTTCCAGATATGATATCTGCATATCAGTTACTTACAATATAGGTTATTAAGAAATTCTTCAGAGACCATTATTACTAGGTCATAGGTAGCCAAGAGAGAGAACTGGTATGGAGAGCCCACATGCCAGGGCCAATGGCTGGGGACTGGTTTGAGTACAATATATATATGGCCAGAGTCCTGTGAATTCTCAGAGAAAAGCTGAGCTAGTTCCCAATCCAGGTGCTCAGATCCAGTCATGGGAGGGAGATAGGCAAAATTCAGCATCCAAATAACAAATCCATCTTCAGTTGGAGGGATTTATAAAACACAGATTAAGCATTTCTTGTGTCTCAAACCCTGTGCTAACTGCCAAGGATACTTTTTACTTGGATAAATAAGACATGGTCTCTGATCTCAGAACCTTAAGATCTAGTGGAGTTGATGTCCAGAGGTCCAAGCTCTTTATGGGAGATGGATAGAAGTATGGTCAGTCTGAAAAGTTTAGTAGTGGAAGTTTGGAAATCTAAGTCAGCCAGGAAGGTGTGAGTCCCGCTGTGTATACATTGGAGAGGGTCTCAGTTCCAGGCCATGCCCGCAGAGAACAGACTAGGGACAAATATCAGAGTATGAAGATTCAGAATGAATAGACGAGTCCACACAAAAGTAGAAACAGACCCTGTAGTTCCAGGACAAATAATGTCTTGCTCTGACCCTGGTTTTTAGGAACCTTCTCAATTGGCACTGAGGAAGACTAGCAGAGCTGGGCTGCTCTCCAGATAGATCCTGGGCTCTGTGAGGTGCTGCTTGTTTCAACAAAGCTTTGGCTCTTGCAGGAGTCCACAACATCCAATGGGCTCTCATAAAATATCAATAAATCAATTTATAAATGTTTTCTGCACATTGATCCTATATATTATATTGGGTGGGTGAGGACTAACTAGCCAGCCAGAAAGCTGGTATCATGATAATTGCTATTCTGATTACTTCTGGGGCTCACATTCTAAGAAAAATGACATAGAGGTTGCTGGCTCTAAAGTTTGACACCTGGGTACACTCATGGACTCAAAAACTATTTTAGAGAGTACCTAAAAGGCACTAAGTCAGACACTAAGGCTAACAGTAGTGCCTAGGACACTACGGAGGGAGTTCAATTCTGGTGAAAGGACAGATATGCAAATGAGATCTGGGGAGGCCAGCACCATGACTAAAGGGACCACACAGCCCAGTTTGCTGGGGATCATCCCTGTTTATACCTATCGTCCTGGAGCAAATTTTAATAGTGCTCTCCTTTGACCCTCAGGTGGAGGCAGGGTGGGATGGGCCAATGCTCTGTAATTAAAGGCTAAGGAAAGCAATGTAGTATGCAGTCTGACCCAAAAAGGTGAAACCCAAATAGCCTTCATGCTAGCTATTATCTGTCACCTCCCCCTCCCCCTCCCCCTCTTCTAGGTCTCTTCTTTTTTTTGCCCTGCCTGGATACCTACCACAAGGTTGACCTTCGTCTCCAAACTCTGGAGATACCTTTTCATGAGGTAAGCCAAATGATGGCCTTTGCTTTCTCTATACATTTTCTGTGGTCTACCTGCCATGAACAAAATGATTATTTATGCTCAAAAATAGGAAAGAAAAATAATGATATGGGCTATATCAGAACTTAAAACTTTTGTGCATCAAAGGACACAATTAACAGAGTGCAAAGGCAGTCTAGGGAATGGGAGAAGATATTTGCAAATCATATATCTCATAAAGGGTTACTATCCAAGATATATAAAGAACTCATACACATCAACAACAAAAAAGTAAACAACCTGATTTAAAAATGGGCAAAGAACTTTGCGGTGGTTAACCTTATGTGTCAGCTTTGCTAGGCCATGACCATTTGGCCTATATTTGGCCAAACACATCTGGATGTTATTGTGAGGGTATTTTTTTTTTTAGTTCGGATTAACATTTAAATCAGTAGATTCTGAGTAAAGCAGATTTCACTCCCTAATGCGGGGTGGGCCTCATCCAGTTGAAGGGCTCCAGAAAAAAAGTGACCTCCCTTTGAGGAGGAGGGAATTCTGCCAGTAGAAAAGATGAACGCTTGGCCAGGTGTGGTGGCTCACGCCTATAATCCCAGCACCTTGGGAGGCCAAACGGGACAGATCATGAGGTCAGGAGTTCGAGACCAGCCAGACCAACATGGTGAAAACCTGTCTCTATTAAAAATACAAAAATTAGCCGGGTGTGGTGGCATGTGCCTGTAATCCCAGCTACTTAGGAGGCTGAGGCAAGAGAATCGCTTGAACCCAGGAGGTGGAGGTTGCAGTGGGCCGATATCACGCCACTGCACTCCAGTGCGGGTGACAGAGCAGACTCTGTCTCAAAAAGAAAAGATCAACTCTTCTCTGGGTCTTCAGCCTGAAGATTTTAGACATGCTAGCTTCCACAAGCACATGAGCTAATTCATTAAATCAATATTTTTTTCTCTCCACACCCCAACATATGTGTGTGTGTGTGTGTGTGTGTGCATGCATATATTTGTATGGTGAAACCCAAACACACACATACACATTATATAGTTTTTCTAGAGAACCCTAATACAGACTTGAGCAGACATTTCTAAAAAGATGACAAAAAAGATGAAGATATATAAATGGGCAACAAGCATATGAAAAGATACTCAGCATCACTACATTCGGAAAATACAAATCAATATCCCAATATATCACTTTACACTCATTAACATGGCTACTGCTTTTTTAAAAACCCAGAAAATATCAAGCGTTGAAGAGGATGTAGAGAAATTGGAAGGAACCCTTGTGCACTGTTGGTAGGAATGTAAAATGGTACAGCCACTGTAGAAAACAGTATAGCAGCTCCTCAAAAAATTAAGACTAGAATTACTGTATGACCCAGCAATTCCATTTCTGTATACATACCTAAAAGAATCGAAAGCAGGGTCTTGAAGAAATATTTGCATACCTGTGTTCGTAAGAGCATTATTCACAATAGCCAAAAGGTAGAAACAACCCAAGTCTCTATTGATGGCTGAAGAGACAAATAAAATGTGATATAAAACCTACAGTGGAATATTATTCAGCCTTAAAAAAAGAAAGGAAATTCTGACATTCTACAACATGGATGAATCTTGAGGACATTATGCTAAGTGAAATAAACCAGTCACACAAAAAAACAAATACTGTATGATCCTACTTACGTGAGGAACCTAGAGTAGTCAAATTCATAGAGACTAAAAGTAGTATGGTGGTTACCAGGGATTGAGGAGAAGAAGAAATTGAAGAGTTATTGTTTAATGGGTACAGAGTCTCAGTTTTACAAGATAAAAAGTATGGAGATGGATGGTAGTGATAGTTGCACAATATTATGAGTACATTCAGTATCACTGAACTATACACTGAAAAGATGGCTAAGATGGCAAGTTTTATAGTGTATTTTAACACAATAAACAAAATTGGGGGAAAAAACTCACCCCAATCCTGTTACCCATCATTAATGGTTGATATTTTGAAGTATATCCTTTCAGACTTTTCTATGTATGTGGTTATATTTACAGATGGGTAAATATCATACCACATGTATGATTTTATAACGTGTCTTTCTTAACCCAACAATATATTGTGATCGTCTTTTCATATATTAGCTAAATGCCTCTACCCCTTTATTTTAAATGGACACACAACATTTCATTTAATGGCTGTATCACAGTTTACTCAACCAATTCCCTACTGTTGATGTTAAATTCTTTCCAATTTGTATTCCAATTAGCAATACTGTGAATAACATCCTTATAGTTAAATCCATATGTCCTTAAGATAAATATAAAAATGGAAATGTTAAGATCATACCTCTTTCTAGAGCTTATGATGTATATCATCAAAGCATCCCCTAGTGTACACTCTAGCAAGCAATACATTACAGTGCCTGCTTCCCAGAACATGCTTCTCTTTTAGCCGATTTTTCTTTTTGGTATGAGTTTAGAAAGACCTGGTTTAGGGAGGTGGAGGTTGCAGTGAGCCAAGATTGCACCACTGCACTCCAGCCTGGGTGACAGAGGGAGACTCCGTCTCAAAAAAAAAAAAAAAAAAAAAAAAAGAGACCTGGTTTAGAATCAACTGAATGTCTTCGTACAAGAAAATTGTTTCTGATTTTTTTACAAAAGGATTTACCACAGAATTCTTTTAAGTTGTGAGTTCTTTCATCATGTATTTCATAAAAATTTCATAGTTTTCAAAAACATGTCTATTTTAAAGAAAGGGTAGGCCAACTCTCTTTTTCTCTTGCTGAGAAAATTCCCTTTGAACACATTTAGGTCCTCCACCCCTATATAGGAAAGGAGCCCAAGAATCAAGCCTGTCATCCAAACTGTTTTCTGCCTAGATCGTGACCAAAGACATGTTTATAATGGAGATAGATGCCATTTGCTACTACCGAATGGAAAATGCCTCTCTTCTCCTAAGGAGTCTTGCTCGTGTATCTAAAGCTGTGCAATTCCTTGTACAAACCACCATGAAGCGTCTCCTAGCACATCGATCCCTCACTGAAATTCTTCTAGAGAGGAAGAGCATCGCCCAAGATGCAAAGGTACTTAGATATGTACCAATATGTTCAATATGTTGAAATATGTATCTTTTATTCATTTGTTCATCCCTTAGGGACCATCCCTTTGGGAGCTTATAGCTAGTTAGGAAGTGGCCAAATTGACTCTGAGTCAATTATATTTATCAGTGTGGTGCTTGTTAGTCATTGCCACAGTTTTTGCTGTCAAACCTATGCCAGTGACTTTAAATTCATCGCGAAGTACTCACATTGTATTAAGTATTGAGAATGATTGCTGGCAGGAACGGTGGGGTTGGTGCTACACAAAGATGATAAGGCATGTTTCCCAGGAGCTTACCATCTACCTGAGGAAACAAGCATAATGAGTGCCAAGTTAAATAGGAAGTTCACATAAGCATTTCAGATAACAAGAGCTAAGAGGTCACAGACCTTCACATGATGAATTACCAAACCCATTGTCTAGACTTAATCAGTTTGGAATTAGAGGAGGGGAAACAGCAAGAACTGCTTCACAAGCAGCTCCCTCTAGTCCACAGGCAACAACCTCAGCGAGCTCATCCACGGCCAGGGTCGGTGGCTTTGATGCTTACCAAGGCAGGTTAGCAAACGATATTCAGAGAAGTGAAAAGACAGCAGGCAGCTGGCCAGTGGAGTGGCAATTACCACCAGCAATGGATCCTGTCACTGAGGCCGTGGGGACACCTAGGCCCAGAACTGGGTTAGGAGGTTGTGAATCATGTCTAGTTGGAAGGAGGACCTCAAACAGAGGGACCCCAAGAACCAAAGGCGCTGGTAGTAATTGTGCTTTATGGGATGTCCCCCTTCACCCTCCCTTCCTTATTCATCCTTCTCCTCTCAAGGATAAAGCCCAGACACTTGACATTCAAGCTTGCCCTTGTTACACTGATTATAATGTATAAACAAATGTTCCTTCACTTATAAACCCATCATAAAGCAAAAAATATCGTTAAGTCAAAAATGCATGTATCCTAATAAACCCATGATAAAAGTCAAAAATTGTCAAATCATCACAAGTGGGGGACCATCTGTCTAAGACATTAGTTTTCCCAGACTGTGTCCTCCATAGCAGCAGAGGCTGTATTTTATCCATTTCTTGGTCCTCAGCACAGGCTTGTCACACAGCAGGTAGATAATGTTTTTTGGATAAATGAATAAATGACCCAGCTGTTGTAGTCTCACCTCTTGCCATCCTTCTCCCACTGAATCTAATACTCCAGCCTACTTTAGCTTCTGTCCAGCATTCAGTACTTTTGTGCTCCCATTGCCTCCTCTTGGGCTGGATCCTCTGCCTGGAATACTTCTCTTTCCTGCACAGGCAAGATTTTATTTGTCCTTTAAGAAGCCACCTATTCTGTGATGTCTTTATCAATATTCCTTATTCTCACCCATACGCCCAAATTAGTCTTCTCAGGGTTCTCAATGTACTACGCTTACTATTTGCCTAACCACTAAAAAATAACCTGAAAATAAGTGTAAAAAGAAGAGTTTGGGTCAACATGGAGAGCTCCATGCCCTGCCCCTCCTTTCCAGAATCCATAGTCCATTTTCTTCCCTCTCCCTTTTCCAACTTCAATCAATGGGGTGTATGGGACTGGGAAGCAGGGGGAAACTGGAGCCACCAGCATCAGTTGTAGAAGTGAAAACATCCTATAAGTGAAAGACATTTGGAAGAGAGACTACAGACTGGTTCTCAACGCAGTGCATTTTAAAACAGATTTTTAAAATATATCTGTATTAGTTCCTATTACTTCTGTAACAAACTACCACAAACTTGGTGGCTTGAAGCCAAACAAAAATTATTCTCTTAGTTTTGAAGGCAAGAGTTCAAAATCAGTTTCACTGCGCTAGAGTCCAGGTGTCAGCCAGACCAATTCCTTCTGGAGGTTCTGAGAGGAGAATCCGTTTCCTTGCCTTTTCCAGTATCTGGGGGCTGCCTGCATTTCTCAGCTCGTGGCACCTTCCTCCATCTTTAGAGAGCATCACTCTGATCCCTGCCTCCATCATCACATCACCTTCTCCTCTTCTGTGGTCCAATCGCCGTTTGCCTCCCTCTTACAAGAACGCCTATAATTACATTTAGGGCCACATGGATAATCCAGGATACTATCCCCATCTCAAGAGCCCTTAACTATCACACCAGCAAAATCCCTCCTGGGGTAACATTCACAGATCCAGGGATTAGGACATGGGTTGTCTTTGGGGACCATTATTCAGCATACCGCACCATCTTCAATTCCACAGATATTTATTGGGTGGCACTATGAAAGTTAAATAACTCTTTGCAAGGCACTGTGAAGTTAAATAAAACAGGCAAATGATGTCCTTTCGAAGGGAATGTCCTTCCTTAGTAGAGAACAATGGCCGTCAGGGCATAGGCATGCTCTCCTCCCACCTGGGGGCTCTCACTGACATCTCAACTCTTCTCTCCACAGGTTGCCTTGGATTCAGTGACCTGTATTTGGGGAATTAAAGTGGAGAGAATAGAAATGTGGGTAGGAAATTAACTAGGAAGAACAGTATGATAAAGGAAAATATTCTGGTTTCATATTAAATTTTTCATTTGAAAAATTATTTTCATTGAGTACTACAGCCACATCAGCATAACTCTGTAAAAAAGAAAAAATTACCCAATATCTTATAGCCATAACACAACCAATATAACATTTGGACAAATTACTCTGATTATTTTTTCCCTATGCATCTAAAAAATTATTTTATATAAAATTTACATGAAATTTCCCATTTTAGGCCAGGTGCAGTGGCTCAGATCTGTAATCCCAGTACTTTGGGAGGCCAAGACAGGTGGATCACTTGAGGTCAGGAGTT